CCATCGTATAGTCTAATGATTTGGATGTGAAAGTAACAGTATCTCTGCTACTACTGGATGAAAGTCGTAAGTCTTTATTCTGTTGATAGTCAGTCCTTACTCTGGCAAAAGTCTCTTTCACAAAAAAGTCCACTTTGCAGTAATGGACATTCGGGACTAGACCAGAGGTGGGAAACTACGGCCCGTGGGCCACATCCAGACCGTGGAATCCTCCTTCCCTGCCCCTGAGCTCCTCGCCCAGGAGGCTCGCTCCTGGCCTCTCTCCCGCTGTCTCCCTACCCCCACAACCCCCGCGCACTGATCCACCGGCACAATTTTATGGGTGGCCGGGCAGCGCAGTTGCAGAGCCGTGGTCTGACCCAGTGCTCTGGGCGGCGTGGCTGTAGTACCGCCAGCCACCGATGCTCCAGGTAAAGCGGTAAGGGGGCAGGGAGCATAGGGGATGGATAGAGGGCAGAGGAGTTGGAGAGGGGGTTGGTCAGGGGGCGGGGGGGTATGAATAGGGGTTGGGGCGGTCAGAGAGCAGGGAACAGGGGGGTTGGATGGGGACAGGGAGTAGGGGTGGTTGGATGGGGTAGCAGTACCGGGGGGCCATAAGTGGAAAGGGGAGTGTTGGATGGGGCAGGAGTCCCAGAGGAGCTGCCAGGGGGAAAGAAGCAGGGGAGGTCGGATAGGAGGCGGGAGCTGGGCCACACCTGAAAATCTGGGGAAACACTGCCTCCCCTAGTCGGCCGTCCATACAATTTTGGAAACCCAATGGGGCCCTCAGGCCAAAAAGTTTTCCCGCCTATAGACTAGACCCACAACTGGTGTAAACTTGCATAACTCCATCATGGTCAATGAAGCTACGCCAATTAGCACAGGCTGAGAAGCTGGGCCAAGAGTTTGGACTACAAGGAGATAAAATGATTACAGTTCATTATTCTGACTGATACCTGTAGGAGTATATGTGTTGCGTCCTATTTCATTATTCACTGTCACACTTGAAGAAGAATGATCTCTTTCCTTTGCAGGGAAAAGTTCAGGCTTCACACTATCCACAGAAGTGTTTGTGGCATATTTGTCCTCATCTTTGTCCCCTCCAAGATAAACATTATGCAAGAAAGGATCTTCGGTTGCATCTTCATTTTTGGCACCTTCATTGGAGACCACAACTGCTGTAAAAATGGTTGAATCAATTTTGAATTTAATATCTGCAGAACCACTTACACCGTTACCGTTACTTTCAGTTCTTGTCTCCTTAATGCACCTTTTAGGAGTAAAGCCCTATTTATTGCTCTGCCACATCACCGCCATCTCAATTATCCATTTCCAGGACCCTGATAAGGATTGGTAAAAGTGGATGTGCCAACAACTTTTTGATTTTTTGTTGTATCGGTTTCACTATCGTACAGCTGCTCATATTTGTGCTACACAGAGAGGTTACTTTGCTGAGGCATTGTGGGAAAAGAGGGAAGATTTGAAAATCTACATCATAGTTTTATTCATAGTTGATGATATAGACAAATAAACCAATCATTGAGGCAATATAGAAAGTGTCCTACCCCTTATTAAACATACCACAGAGAAAAGCAGCCAGAAAAGTCCATGAGCACCACCACCATGTCAAAAGTATAAACCACCAACAATTTCACCAGAAAACACGATTGCAAGGGCAAGTTAAATGTGATTGCAGAGTAAAGGGAGAAGGCACTTTACAAAGCCATTTTGTAAATCATTTCCACTGAAAAATAAAAGTCCACTGCACCGGATGCAGTTAGGTACCCACGCAGCAGCAGAAAGAAATAAGCAGGAAAATCACACCAGAGAAATTCAGACAACAAAAGATCCCACCAAACATAACCTTGAGTCAAGAAAGCAGCACACAAACAAATCACACAGTAAAGTGTGTATTTTTGGTTATTTTAGATCTTTTTCTCCCTTCACTCTCTAAGCCGGCACAATGTTGTCAGCAATCAAGACACCATAGAGGAGGCATTTTCCAAACACACAACCTTCACTAAAAGAAAGTAACTGTAATAATACAGTAAAAATATATCACACAACTTCATATTTAAAGTATTATCAAATGCACACTGTTTTCACTTGATGCAATTCATATGATGCCGACCATCTCACAGCCTAGAACAACCTATCAGATGACAGACATTTCATGTATAATTAGCCAAAGAAACTGTTTCTGAGGAAGAGGAACATGTGGATAGATGCAGAAAGTCCTCCTTTTTGCTGATCTTTGAGATTCATTTGGTTACTGCTTCCAAGCTAATAGTAGTGGTGATAGAATAAGGGACTAGGTATACGCTCACAACATAGGACCTTGTGGTTACTTTTCTATTCAGAGTGCAGCTGGGATTTTGATACTGAATGATCTTGATAATTAGCTTTTTGAAATTCATCAATCAAATTTTTCAAAAAGTGTACAAAAGCCACAACCCAAATAGGTTCAGTTGTATCTAAGAACACAGAACGTGGAGTTTTTGCAGACTCTCAGGTAGTAACATTTCCCTCTACTCTCTTTTCTGAACACCTGTAAGAATGCTCAGATTCTGAAGTTACTCTTACTGAAAGACATATGCCAAAGGTTGGCATAGCACCATCACTAACACCAAATAGGCCAATTCAAAATACGATTCTAGAGGCCGAAACTCTGCAAATGAAATCTGAGTACTTCCCTCACCCAAATTTAGTAATAAACTTAATTAACATCTTGTAGTATAATGACTTGGATGTGAAAGTAACAGGATCTCTGCTACTACTGGACGAGAGTCCTAAAGTCTTTATTCTGTTGATAGTCAGTCCTTAGTCTGGCAAAAGTCTCTTTCACAAAAAAGTCCACTTTGCAATTATGGACATTAGGGACTAGACCCTCAATTGGTTTAAACTTGCATAACTCCATCATGGTCAATGAAGCTATGCCAATTAGCACCAGCTGAGAATCTGGGCCCAGAGTTTGGACTACAAGGAGATAAAATGATTACAGTTCATTATTCTAACTGATACCTGTAGGAGTAGATGTGTTGAGTCCTATTTCATTATTCACCATCTCACTTGAAGAGGAATGATCTCTTTCCTTTGTAGGGAAAAGTTCAGGCTTCACATTATCCACAGTAGTGTTTGTGGGATACTTGTCCTCATCTTTGTCCCATCCATGATAAACATTATGCAACAAAGGCTCTTGGGTTGATTCTATATGCTTGGGATCACCATGGGAATCCACATCTGTTTAGGGTATGTTTGAAATAGATTGTGAACTTAAAATTTGCTGAGCTGACACTCACATTATTCTCAACTCCTGTCCCAGTTATTTCTGCAAGAAGCTCTGTAGTTATATATGTGTAATGTGCAATGGATAGGAGAAAAGAGTAAAAGGTGCCCTCTGGTTTAATCCTAACCAACAAGATCTTCTTTTGTTCAGGAAGTATGATTTGGCTGAGAAGAATATCAATGGTAATGGACAACCCAAATTTGTTTGGATAATTGCAAATATTTTGTTTTCTGAGCCACCAACCACGTTTGCTCACCATTTGTTTATATTGATCTTATAACAGACATTTAATAATGGAAATGTACGAGGATTTTTTTCAATAGGGTAGCTGGAGGTTTCCAGGACTGCAGCATGTCAGGAATCCACAGGTGCTAGGACAATGGATGTCTCAAAGGGGATATGTATATTTGCTGAGCCACCACCCACACTCAATTAGCCATTTGCTTTTCTTTCCTATGCATCAGTAATATATTATTAATATACATAGTGTAGAAGAAGAGCATTGAAGATGGATGCATAGTTTTTACTGTAGTATCACTAGTTTTCTCATCCATCCATTTGCATCACACCACTGTTCAGGAGCTGTTTTCTTTCTATGAAGTTTCCCAGTGATATTGGGAAAAACAATAGCAACAGAAGAATAAACTACAGCAGAAACAGTGACAAAACTAATGCAGTTGTTGTAACAACTTGCCCCTCTAACTCAAGTTTGAAGGATAATACTGCAACAAATAACGGCAAGGATCCATTATTCAAATCCAAATCCTTCATAAGTGCTAATACTGAGCTCAGAGATTAGTGTGAAACGTTCTGTTGTTAAGCCAGAGAGCTATGCAGTCAACAAAAAGTCAGTAAGTTACATGCCACCACCAACTTTAGCCAAAAGAGTTAAAATCTACCAATAGCTCAATACCAAAATTAGGAGGAATCTGAGCATAAGATAAGGACAGAGACCTCTGGCATTAATGCAGTTTATAAATGGTCAATGCAAGGTGATCAGAGACTAAATACAGCTCTTAGTTGCAATGGGACACAATTTTTCAACCATCACTGAAATCACAGAAGGCAGAAGGCGTAGTAAGGATATAATAAATAGTCAGCACAGAGAGAGATGAAGCAATAAATAAATAAATAAATAACACCAGAAACTCCCAAAACTCAGGCCAATGAAGACAACAAAAATCCCAAAGCAAACTGAGTTTTTCATTAGGCATTCTTTATTGAATTCCTAATGAAATCCCCTGCTGAAAAAAGAACCCACTGAAAGTCTCTCCACACACCTAAACCAAGTTCAGAAACACAAATATTGATAAGATCTTTAAAATAAACAACAAAACTCTTTACTGATAACCATAACTGAGCTTTTTATTTTCAACACCTATACTTTCCTGTCTTCTCCCAGTAAAATATAAGCTTCATCTCCTAGTTCATGGCATAAAGTACGGACAGTACAGGAGAACTAATTATGTGATAGATGATCATTACACTGTTGTAAATATTGCACAGTAGATAACTGAATACACAGATTTACAGCAGGCATGTTTCATCCCTTTATTCCATAAACACTGATAGACTATAGCTGCATTTCTGGTGGCACCTGACAGATTTCTGAGCTGTCTGGTCTATGTGACATATTAGCTTACTTGTGCAAATGGCACCAGATGCCACTCTTTACTGAGGTATGTCATTTTGCTTTAAATATAGTAAGTTAGATAAAACTATTAGAATTCATTACCCTTATTGGTAACTGGAGGGTGCTGTTCCGTGTCATCATTTGTGTCCCATCCAGAGTGTAATGGATCTTGCAGTGAATCTTCATCATCTGTTTCATTTTCTTGTGAATCCTCATCTGTTGCAATGATGTTAAACCGCCTGTAAACTTTTCATTTGCTGACCCACCACCATCATCACTCAAATAATTCTCATCTTTATTCTTTCTTGCCTTTATAATAGGCTGTGCTTTTTTAGAGATTTATTTAGCAAAGAAGAAAGAATGTGATAGAGGTACATTCTTTGTGGAAGAAAATCTGTTGCTGTTTATGATGATGATTATTATTATTGTTTATCTTATTTATAGCATTTATGATTGAGCACCCCAAAATGTGCCAAAAACTCATAAAGCAATTAGAGACATGCTCCCTTCCCTGAAGAACCCACAATGTAATTCTGACATGACACAATAAGTGAAAGTCATCTCACCCTCAGCCAGCTCTGGGTTTTCAGGTCATTATGACATCTGTTGACATCATGATTCTATTTAGCAGGCATGAGATTTCTGTAATTTTTTCCATCTATAACGGACCAAGGGGCCATTAAGGCAAAAAATATTGTGTGCTGCTAACAAGGGGGGTCAAAATAAAAAGGAGCATAGAATCAGGGTTAACTGAACACATAAACCTTGCAGAGTTTCTGGGAGTGAACAAGTGATGTGCCAAAGAGAGATTTCTAAATCAAGAGCACGGGAATAGCAGTGGGTATGTGCCTCATCAGGAAGGGTCTATTCAGGTGTTCTCATTGGGGAGTGTCACTTCACTTTTTCCCAGTGTGGACTTGTGCATTCCAGACACAGTCCTGCTCTAAGAGAGTAGACTCTGAAGGAAAATATATTATTCTCCCTTATGGAGCATTAAGAAGGCTGTTTAACAGCCACCAGACATCAATAGGTCATTATTTGAATTGTAAAGTGGCTTATTACTTAATTTATTGGATGATCTTAATCAAACACTAGTAGTTAAAAAGACATATGATTTACCCTTAGTTGCTGTGGTTGGATGCTGCTCCTTGTGATCTGTATTGGACCACCACCAAATGTCAGGGGACGGATTCCCCTCATGTTGGCTGGAGGTTTCCTCATGTGCACCATGATCCGGGTTCACAGCTGTTAGGACAATGGTTCAATCATTTGTGATTTTTTTACTGGCTCAGCCACTAACCTAAATATATTCAGCTTCTGTTCTTCTCTTTTCTATACCCAATATATCTCTTTTACAAATATACAGATTGCAAGGAAACTGGAGCAGAGTCAAGTGGGAACTCTGGTTTGTTGACAGGTTAATCGATTTTCTAATCCACTTCTTCCACATCATCCTGGTATTGGAAGGTAGGTTCTTGCTACAGAATACCACAGTCTTCATGGCAAAGCAGCAACAGTAACTGAACAGGCAGAAGCAACAACTTGCACTTTTAATTGAGGTTTGACTGTAGCCAATGAACTTACAGAATTTTCTTACACTGATCCATCTAACTGTAGGTGGGGACATTAATTTAATTTTGTAATTGTATCCTTTTTTTGCTATATTAGAGAATTAGGTAGTTAGCCAATTCAGGAACATAGAGAGGGAAAATGTAATTTGATCTCATTCCAGTGCTTAGTAAAATACTTTGTAAGTATGGCACATCCCACGTTTCCTGTTAAAGGTGCAGTTATTGAACCACAAAGAGATAATGCTCAAAAAATCCAACTAGTAACAGCACCAAAACCATACCACAAAGCTGAAAGCTTTGAAACACCTTCACCTGAAAGTAGAATCATGCCAATAATAACATGAATGTGTGTGCAGAATTGGCATCAATTCATGTGTAAAGACTAGTACAAGAAAACAAAATAGTCTGTCCAGAAAAAGACATCATGACCTAAATTTTCAAAAGTGTCTAGTGAGTTTGGGTATCAATTTACAGGGGTCTGATCTGCATGGGCAAGTGCTCAGCACTTTCTAAAAATCAGGTTGCTTTAAGGTATCTGAAATCGGGCACCGAAAAATCGAGAAACCTCCCATCACCAGTCACTTTTGAAATTTAAGGCCAAAATGCTCAATTCCAATAGCCCAGATTACTTACATGCCTGTGAAATCATCACAGAACACCAAAGAAGTCCACACAAATTGCATGGGTAAGAGTGAGAGCAGAGTTGGCCAAGCATGTGGAATGTACACTAAACATGGGAACAGAGAGATATGAAGCAAAAGGAAATTCCAGACCTTAAGGAAAGAAAAATCCCAAAGGAAACTGAGTTTGTGTTAGTTTAGAATTTTTCCCTTAATGGGACAGAAGTTCACCATACTAAACTTCAAGAGGGTGACTACTCCCATTGAATTCCATGGGACTTAAGCACATATTAAAAGTTAAGCATGTGCATATAAATGCTTTGCTGATTTGTGGTCTAAATTCGTGATATTATTTCATTATCCTTACTGCTACTTGGAGGGTGCTGTTCCTTGTCATCACTGTTGTCCCCTCCGAGGGAAATTACTGGTATTAACGGATCCTGTGTTGAGTCTTCACCATCTGCACCATCATCATGTGAGCTGAGATCTGTTATAATGATGTTAAATGTACTATGAAGTTTCCATTTGCTGAGCAACCATCCACATCATTTTCAAATTTATTTTTTCCTGTCTTTACTAATGTCAGCTCTTTCATCTTAAAGAAATGTAGCAAAGGGGACAGGGTTTTCTTTCTCATGCACAAAACACCCATTTTTCAATCTGGCAAACTGCTCAGTAACATCAGACTTTCCCTTAGCAGCTACAATGTTCTGAATGTAGATTATTACCCCCTACAATTGGCCAAACAGCCACAACAGCAGAAGGAAATGTGTTCTACAAGAAATGGGATTATGGGAGTAAAAACTAATCAAGAGCATTTAAATGCTCCCCTAAAATCAGGGATAATTGATGACATAAAACCAACACAACCAGTTGTTTCTGGAGCTATGAACAAATATTCCAAGATGTCAATAAAAGTTAAAGGGATGTATATAGTCTTGTTTTTAGCAAGGCCTAATTCTCTTGGGTTACAGTGGAGGTGATAGGACAAAAGAGTTTTATCTTGAATAACAAAGGGTCGCAGAAAAGTACAGTTTCAAGTTCATTTAGTTTAGTATAAATGCTCTCTTCTTTCCAAATCATCTTCACGGTGAAAGTCGACATATAAAAACAGATTAAATCCTTTACTGCAATGTACATTTTAAAAAAGACTATTTCTGTTTCTTTGTTCATGCAATGAACAAAATATTTATCCTGTCAGCTAGAAATAAGCTAAAAAAAATCATCACAGGCATGTCACAAACAATGAAAAGAAGAGAACTTCTGAAGTCCAAATATCACTTTAATTTATACAGAATTCCTTCTTTTTAAGATATGACTACTTCATAGCCAAGACCAAGTCTTCCAGGGTCATCTGGGTAATATTACAGGTTATAGGCAAGGGTGGGGTGTATATTTTCCCATTCAAAATACAATTTAAGATTAAAGATGGAACTCATATGGCATCAGAAATACAAATTCATGGTGACTGGATATTTTTGTGGAGCTGGTATTTCTGTGCTGCTATTTATTCAGACTGTAGACAAAGTACATGATTTAATATTTAAAATCTTTACCCCCTGTTGCCTGAGTAGGCTGCTGTTCCTTGTGGTCAGGATGGGACCACCACCACCACGAGTCAGCAAATTGATTCCAGTGAGGTTGGGTAGAGGTTTCCTCATAAATGGGCTTCACAGCTGCTAAGACTATGGTTAAATCACTGGTGATCTTTTTTATGTGCTGAGCCACCTTTTCCTTGCAAAGTTAAAATCCATCAACACTTTCACCCATAAATATGCTCATGCCAATAAGCTGAATATGAGTGCACGTTAAAGACATAAAACTCTGGTATCAGTGCGTTTGCTAACTGATTAGTTGCAAGAAAAAACAATAGTCCCAGTCCCAACAATATACACAGTGCTCAGCTACAGTGGCCCAGATCAATTACATGTCCTTGCAAACACGACAGAAGTCCATGTAGTCTGCATTGGGCTGCATAAGTGTGACTAAAAGCACAGTTGGAACCAGCACCCAAACACCGGCACAAGAACAGATGAAGCAACAGAGACAAAAACAAAAAAACCCAACCAACCAACCAAGCAAACAAAAAACCATCCAGATAAGAGAAAGGGAAAAAATGTCCCACAAGAAAACTGAGTGTTAATTTAGCTTCTTTGTCCATGGAGATCCTGATTAAGCTGATGTTACCAAAGACCAGGCCTATAGCAAGAGCCACGTTGCACACAAACAAGCACCAGCAAGATCCACTTCAGAAACAAACTCTTTTTAGTAAAAGTTATTGAACTTTTCCTCTGGCTGATGCAATGCATAAAATGTTGTCCTCCAATAGCAAGACATAAACTATCATTATTCCATACAGATCTCATGAACATTTTAAAAAGGAAATACGTTTTCATACAGAGCATCATGTAAATTACTGTAAATCACTCCTCTCCCATTTGATCTATAATGCCAGTCAAGTATGCACATCTGTAGAAATCATATAATTCTACAGTAACTGTGCAGACTTCAGGACCTCTTCAGAATATTTGTACTTCTCTGGACACAGTATTATTTTTATGAAATCCATATGTAGAATGCAGATGTTCCATCTTGTTCCCAATTCCAAGCAACGATGGCTACTGTTCATTCTACAGATAGTCATTTGTCCTGAATATGCAGCACTAGAAATTCTTTTCAGGTGGATTCCTTCCAAAGGACAACTTTCCAGAGTTGGATTCTACTGAAAACATTACCACTCTTTCTTCAATATAGCTATAAAGAATAGGGCACATAGAGCAAAACAGATATATATTTCAGTTTCCTTACTAGTACTTGTAGGATACTCGTTCTTGACATCATTTATGTCCCATCCAGGAAGTACTATTGGTTTTAAAGTCTCTTCATTTGAATCTTCATCATCTGCACCACCGTCATGTGAGTTCACATCTGTTGTGATGATGTTAAATGTACTGTGAACTTTTCATCTGCCAAACTACTACCCATTATCAGTTTCATTTGTATTTCTCCTGCCATTTACAATGGTCTCATTTTTAATGGTACATGTCTAATAAGAGGAGAAGAAAAGTTGGGGACCTTTCTTTTTATGCACAGAAATAGCTTCTGCACACATAACTTTTTTATAAAACATCCATTAACATCACAGTTTTGTTCACCAGGCATAAAATCACTATAAACTCCTCCACCAATAAACCACAATAAGAGAAAGCATCCTGCTAACAATGGAAGTCAACATAGGTAGAAGCCTATCACTCTAAGAGATGGCTGATGTCATTCAACCAGAAAAGTTTCTCTATCAGTATACACTCTCGGGTGTCACTGAGAGCCCTACTTGTTCTGCATGTGGCCCTTTGTTAACAAAGCCTAATAGATCTTGGCTTATGCTAAAAACTAGTTGTGATTGATCAAGGATTTTTTCTTCGTACAACCCATATATTCTTCCTTGAATTTAATCCTGCTCTGACTTTGATGTAACAAGTATAGGATTATGGTGACTTCAGTGTAGGATCAAGCCAATGGAGAATCCAGGCTTAGAGGAAGAATACTGTCATTTAAAAAATTAACTTAGGAAACCAAGGAAAATAATGGCCAAGTACATTTAATATATATATTCTCTATTTCAATGTGACAGTTCCAATTAAGAAATCTTAAGAAATCCCTTTCACATAATTTGTAGTTGTAAACATAATCATATTTGTTATTCTATTCCTGTGATGCTACCAACAAAATATATTCTTTCTCAGTAAGAAACAAGGGTTTATGTTGCTACAGATATGCCACATATGCATTTAAAATAAGTTACGTTCTAAAGCCAAGATATTTATTATTATGCACATTTTAAATGTTTTTATCACTCCAGCAGCTAGCTATCTAGTATGCACATTTTCACTTGTGTTTTTCCAATAAACTTTGCCCTTTGCACATGCTATATAAAAGTGCACTAGATTAGGACCTCAAGACGCAACAGATTAGTTCCAGTGAATACATAGTGAATATAAAAGAATGAGTTATTCTTATTGGAAACAGAAACAGGAAAAACACATAAGAAGCCAACACAGTATCAGAAAGGCTGTTTGGCTGCCACTTCATATATACTTCCATGCTGCCTTCTACTCAGCTTTATCAACAGACTTTAAGCAAAGCTGCTTAGGTGAAATTATATAAATTCTTTGCCGTTACTGGCAGTTGTCAGGTGCTGTTCCTTGGAACTTACAGAATGCCACCATGGGGAAAAAAATGGTTTTGCGTGGGTGGTGGTTTCATGATGTGTGTAATGGTGGCGATCCACAGCTGTTAGGACAATAGTAAAATCAATGTAGAGCACTTCACTGATGAGTCTTAACTTACATGATTCCCATTCGTTGTTGTTCTCTACACCTGGGCTTTGTTTTTTACTTGTGTATATAGTGGAGAAAGAAGAGGTAAATAGAGATGACCCTCTGCTTTGTTCAGCTGTATCACTGGTTTTCCCATCCATCCACTTCTGGTATCAGGAAATGTGAATTTTCTGGAATTTCTTCCAGTAATACAGAGCAAAGTAGCAAGAACAAAGGAAGTTACAGAAGCAGCAGTGGCAGACCACATAGCAGCAACCTTTCTGTTATTTGATTGTTCCTCTAACTCATCTTTTGTTAACGACACTGAAACTGTATTGCTTTCAAAAACTAAATCACTATAAGTCACAGTGGTATTTCACTTACTGTTTTGTAATTACAGCTAACCAATTCTAACAAGCAGACAGAAGAGTGTTTATTCTGCAATGCAAAAAAATTCAAAAGATTCAAAAAAACATATTTTTTCCAGCTAGTTTGTCACCTAATGAAATGAAAACCTTCCAAGTATAGCAGAAACACTGCACCATCACTACTGGATGACAGAGATATGCTTATCAGGAAAAAGTACAAAAGTACTACCAATATATCAGCCTTACATATAGAAGCTAAAAATTTGTGCACACTTCCATCAAAAAACAAAGGGTTTAATCCTGCTCCCTTTGAAATCAATAGAAATCAATACAAGTTCAGCCACTGAATTAAATGGTAAGAGGAACTGGCCAATAAATATGACAATATTGAAATGAATATGAGTACAAGATAAAGGTTGGAGCATCTGGCATCAATGCATGTTGTAAAAGATTAGTGCAAGGAAACCCAGAGAATATACAGTATGTGCGAAGAGTGCTGTACGCAAACCCATCAGCTCAAAGATAGATGAAGACACAAAGATTCCCACCACAAAACAGCAAGAAACCAAGAAAAAAAACCCAAAGTTACACTTTTAAAGCCAAATACTGCAGTCTTTATGTAAGCGAGATGCCCCTGACTTTGGTAAGGACTGCAAGATCTGGCCTTTAGTTCTTTTAGATAATTTTCTCCCTTCAAGTTATGTTGTCAAAGACCAGACTGCAAAATTGGACACCCACATCTCCATACACATAACTCTATGCCAGTAAAATCAAACTCAGTATTTTAAAAACAATTTTAAAAA